ATTCATGAATATATCGAAATTCATATATATATATATTTATATATATATATATATATATATATATATAACTAACAATAAACATTTTCAAGAAACTCACCTGACTAAGAGGGTCTGGGGTTCTTGCTGTTAATGAACCAATATAAATAGCATGCGGCATCATAGGGCGGGGATAATCGAATGCAAAATCAGAACAGAAAAGTATTAACTCCGAATTTCTACATAAACTCCTGTATGAAAGCTCTGGTCGGATGTTATGCCTTTGCTGTATACTTTTGAATGGTTTTAGCAAAAGAAACTCAAACATTGCAGCCGATGCAAGGTATGCAAATGTATTGCCCAGTCTCTGAGGAAACGTCATCTCATCTGAGTATCCTGTTTTTACCGCTGGTACATATGCAGGGTTTGAAGTCAAACCATGAAGTAAATCGTCTATCATCGGGAAAGCTCTCATGGTGGAGACACTGACGAACGGTACACGCAATGTATCAACAATTAGAGCGAAGCCTGGGTTAAAGGCATTAGCAAGAATTAGATCAAAGTTCGCGGCATTCAAGCGTTTTATGCTGTTACTGTCTTGAATAAAAGCCTCCGTCTCATCTGCCAAAACATCAAAAATGCGAAGTATTTCAGAAATTGTTAGTGCAATATGTGCACTTTTTGTGACTCGGTTGTATGCATCGGGGAATTCATTGAAGCCGGATTCATAGTCTTCAAAATTCATAAATGTTCGTTGTTCTTTGATCAGTCCTGCAAATCTTTGGTAGTAGAGATCATTTATCAACACGGTAACGTTATGACCTCTCATGGCCAGCAGTTCTCCAAATCTCGATATAGTAATGTAGAAATTCCCGAACGGGGCGCCAGGGAGAATTAGGATATTGCTGCACAAGACTGGGCAGATCACACACGCTATAACAATAGCACCGATCCATCGGGTATTAGAAAGTGCGGCCATTTTGACGGCGTCAATCAAAGTCCCAGTCCAATGCACAAAACAAAAGGCTTACCTTTAGTGGTATGATCTGAGCTCAGTATTCTAATTTTGTCTTGTATCGCATTATCATAATTCATGCAGAACAAAACACCCTAGCCAAGGTAATATAATATCCCGAACATTAGCAGTGAATTGATATGTGGCTGTATTATGACATTAATCTCAGGATATGTCTAGTTTGTACCCATCAGATAAGCTACTATATGTAGGAGAAAGTGAATGTTGTCCAAATCACAATTACTATACGTGATTAAATAATTGTTACTGTCCTATGGGGCCTTGCGTCATCAAAATGTCGCGCTATGGCAGAAGCTTGTCGAGTTTTGTGTGACGCATCCAAGATGTTGAAAGAATGCATGTCGACGCCTCTGAACTCGTCAACAAGTGTCGCTGGAACTAACAACGAGCTGGACATAATCACAAGAAAGAACTATCTTTGTAAATTACTTTTTCTGCTTGAAACATTTAGGTTAAATTCACATATTTAATCAACCATTTGAAACATAAATATATATAACTGTATAAAAATAACTGGTGCATGTCGCTGTATATGAATAATCCATTTGACCCCATTTATTACCAATACAATAATTCAATGATTTCACTGTAACCATCGTGATTAATATATTTTGACATAATTAGCCAACAGAATATATGAACATTATCAGTGCGTTTGGTTAGTAGTCGTACAGGATTGAATCTTTAAAGATGAATTGTGAATATTAAATTGTTCACAAAAACTATAGATTCTTATAAAGTGGGATCTTCATTATCAATTTTAGAAATTGTCTGAAATCACAATGCATGGTAATACAAGAATGTCCATAATTATTAGTCCTAGGTTGTATGCAGTTCAAAATAAGGGACTCATGAATTGGCATGCACCCAACTGTGTGTTCATTCATACATATGTATCACATCATATACATAACTGGTTCAAACTTCTTACATTATATCAGACATATGCACACATATTTATTTCATGATTCTAATCAAGGTGGCTGAATGGCATCCATGTTATGTCCCACAGTGCATTAAAATCACATATTTTCACCATTCCAGAATCGAATCTCAACTGTGTGTGAACAAATTTAGTTTAAATTCATACTTAATACGTAATTCATACTTGGTATGGCTGTCCTTTTTCTTAAATAAAGTGTGTTTCTTGTAACCAACCCGTATCCATAGCTAATTCTCATCAAAAAGTCTACATGCAAGAAGTATATATGCAATAGTGTCATACTATTTAAAAAGGGATTGAATTAAATCCTTAAATCTCAGTGTTTTGTGAGCATATTTTACTATACTCAGTCATACTTCAATACACCTTGCACCATTCAATATTTTAGTATCGAATAAATCTCAATAAGATTGTCCTTCACAATTAAGCAACCTCGTACGTGCCAAAAAAACAACTGCCAGGCCAAAGGACTAGCACCAATTCAAAATTGTCAATCTAAAGACTTGGTCCCAACAAAATGAAGTCATCCTTAAATCCCTATTTACTATTCTATTGACTAAAAATATGTACCTGCTCAGCATTTATTACTTCTACACAGCTGTTTCTCCAAAATTAGTTTGTTGTGGATTTCGGCAACCATTTTGGCTATGTCGTTTTACTTTGATCTGTTTTGAATTACGTTCAATTTCTTGTGCAAAGCAATTCATTTAATTTCTTTTGTTCAGTATGTTTGAAAGGAGGCTGTATTTTGGAGATATAATCTTGTGATCTGCATGTTTTTGTGCAATTTATCGAACATGGACCATCCGTGCATAGCGTGTCCTGAGTTGAAGTGACAACACAATCCCCTGATGTCTCCCAAAAATAATCATGAATAAAAAAACATCTGATAAAAACAAGTTTCTAACACAGGTGAAAAAGATAAAGAGGAAAGATTTCCTCAGTCTATGAAGGTTTTCTGCAGAGTTTTGCCAAGCGTCAAATTTCTACCAAAAGCGCATTGGTGACTGATCATATTCAACTGTTCATCAAATAAGTGCAACGGTGAATCATGTCGTGGTTCATGTCATTTCGTGTAATGTGACGCTATTCCATGCGTCATTTACCGGTTATGGCATATATTCAACTATCCATCGAACGAGTTGGACGGTGAACCATGTCATGTAATGTTATTTAAATTTGAAGCCGTTCTGTGCGTCCATTATGTTGCTACGGCGTATATTCATCTACCCATCAAAAGAGAGAAATGGTGAACCATGTAGTGGTTAATGTCATGCCATCAATTAATGTGAAGTCATTCTATGCGTAATTTATATATATTCAACTGTACATCAAAATAGTGGGACGATGAGTTTTGCTGTAGTTTTTGTCATTTCAATTAATGTGAAACCATTCAATGCTTCATTCAAGTGAATATATTGTCCTTTAATGTGAAGCCATTCTATGTGTTATTCGTGTTTCTGTGACATATATTCAGCTACAAATCGAAAGAGTGGGACGGTGAAACATGTCGTGGTTTGTATCATGTTATTTAATGTGAAGCCATTCCATGTGTCATTTATATTTTATGGCATATAATACACTACCCATCGAATGAATGGGTAATGAACACAAATAAACTGCCGTATAAATATACTGTTCATTAACGATTATATTTTGTTCTGTTTCATGTTGTATTAGGAAACGTTTGACACTGTGATATAAGTCTATTTGATGAAACGAAAGATAAACTAATACGACTCATCACAGCAATCAAATCTCTTCACATAAAGTGAAAAATATACTTGTTTTACTTGGTTTGTCATTGCTATGGGTGTAACTAATAAACAAAAGTCGGAGAATAGATTGACAATTTTTAAGTGGAAATTAGAGCTTCCGATGCTAACTGATTTATATATTTAAATTATAACAATATAAGAATCACATAATTGATGTAGCTGTTTACAAAATTCTCAGGGGACGCTAACAAAGTTTAATTAAATTTGGTGCATAGAACGTTGTAATAATTACACATAATAATTCTCCCCTTAGATGTTCAATCGAATTTTTCATTTGATTTGTTAACTTCTTATGTTGTGTTGTTTTTATTAGTTAGGTTTTCTATCTTAATTATTTATATTATTTATTTTATTTTATTTGTTTTGTTGAAAATATATTCTGTTAGTTAAGATTATCAACAGGAATCTTTCCCCAAACAATTAACATTGTTCTTGAGCAATGCTTAAATTTAAACATTAGAACATAGAAATATTGCAAATGTGACCATTGTAAGGCTTGCTATTGAGCTTCTATGAGTTGATTTTTGTTTGTTTGAATGTTTAAATTTAAGCATTTAAACTTATATATTTATATAATTATTATGTAGCTTAAATTCAAACATGGACGAGCATTTATTTCAAATCTTAAATTTAGGCAAGGATAAGCATTTTATTTAGTTTCAAGGGCTTAAATTTGGACCAACCGTTCTGATCTGCTGTTTAAATTTAAGCTTTTTTTCAGCGGCCATATATTGCTTTGAAGTGCATGAGATATCCCTGGAATGTAACCATATTATTTAAAATCATGAGTACAGCAGATATTTGTAAAGACAAGAGCTGTTTTTACCAACAAATTGTTCTCACGTGGCAAATGAGACGATGTCAAGTTGAAATAGACATTGTTCGAATTTTCGTTGAAATAGACCTATTTTAAGTTCTTGTTGAAATATACATTGTTTGAGTGCTAGTTGAAAAGCGTGAGGGCCACGCAACTTTTTTTTCTCGCCAATGTTGTCTTATTTCTTTCCGTTTATTGTGAACAAGACAACTTCTCGTTTAACCCATGTAACCATGGTATTTGTAACGGTAGGCGCGATGGTGTTCATGATTGTAACAATATAGGGTTGGGACAAAAACAAGTCACGTGGTTCTCTTGCTAAAATCTCGGCGGCCATTGGCGAATAGGCTATATTTTTAAGAATATATAATATTATAAACCATTCTCATATAGTTTGGAAATATGTATACCTTACGCTCACTCTGATATAACTAGTTGCACATCGCGTTCCTAATTAATTTTATCACTGTTTTTTTTTCTATTCAATTTGACATCCGTTAGTTTGCAACAGATTTTAAATATCTGCTTCATTACTAGCTTTGCAATAATAATGACAATGGCTACGACAATCAGTAAAAACACGGCAATGTCGAGAAGTAAATACTGGACTAAATTTAGTTCGAGGGATGATGGTTTGAGGTGATCACCGCCAAACTTCAAAATGTGTTCAACCCAATATACAGCTGTATCTCCTGGAGGCATTGGAGTATCTCTCTGGATACTGGATAATCTAGCGGCATTGTCTTTGTACCTACGAAAAAATAATTTGTGCTAGAAATCAGTATGTGTGCAATCTTCAAGTTATCCTTTTTTCAAAAAGACCCATAGAGTTACAATTTTAATTATAACCTATTATTGATTAACAGTCGGTCAGTAAGAACCTCTTACCTTGGGTCTTCAATCGCCTTTTTTACAGCATTGTAGACATCATCTTCTGTGAAGGATTTTGAATCTAAAGAAATTGCCATTCCTTTGTTAACGAGTCTTTCTACATTCTCCAACTGTTCCGCAAATAAAGCCATGCCAATAAAAGGCACTGCGTGGTAGATAGCCTCGTTTACTCCATTGATACCTCCGTGGCTTATAAATGCTTTGGTATTTGGGTGAGCTATTGAACAGATGGGGTAAGTCAGAGCAATCATAATGATGTTTGATCAATCTATAAATGGCTAGCTGATAATTTTGAATATGTATAGAATATATCACCTTGATATGTTCTGCATATTGCATATATTCTATGTAATGAATTCAATAACGAATAGTCGTTAGACGATATATCTACGTGTTACCTGTTCTTAGTCTCAATATTGAATATATGTGAAATGATCACACAACCTTTACCAATGTTACAGCGAAGCATATATGTATCTGTGATTTTACATCAACATACAAATAAATATATGTTGGAATAGATTACTCTGTGGCATTTAAACGTCCCTTGAATACGCAAATTTTGATTCCTGTGTTGGTTTGAAGAAATAAAAACTGCTAAACTAATAAAGTGATATTGTCTATTTATTACCTAGAAGATCATTTTGTGGAATCCAACTGCTAAGTTTGGTGTTCTCGCCAAGGCCATTTGGTGGATTCCCTTCGTATTTCATAATAACTTTTTGCGGCAATCTGGCAAACGCTTTAACAAACTTTGTTGCTTTTTCCAAGTCTTCGCCGATGTTAGCCTGTGAACCCAGTGTAAATACTACAATTCCTTCTACAGCCGATTCGACGAATTCGGTCCATTCCTAAAAAGACAACAATTCGGTACATCGTTTTGAAGCACTTACACCTGTTCACGTAACATATAAATATATTTGATGTGGCAAGTATGCAAATTAAATGTATTAGCTTCCAATCGTTGTCAAG